TTCGATTCTCAGTGTCCAATACACATTTTCGCCGGTCTACCCATCAGTTATGATCGCGCCAGCAGCGGCGGCGTGGTGTGGCAACTGATCGCCGATCTCAAACCCAATCGCAGCACGCATTCCTCCGTCTTGGCCATGGGCGAGCGCTACGACACACTGCTGAATGAGTTCCAAAAGCAAGCGCAGGGTTTCAATCAAAACATACCCGGTCGCGTCATCAGCGGCGCCGGGCTCTCATTTTGGCTGGACAAGCTGGTGGCCGCGCTGGATGTGGATTACATGAAAGATTGCCGCGCCATCGATGTGGCGGTTTGCGTGAATGGCACGCGTGCGCCACTGAAATATGTCACGGACATTATGCGCCTGCTGTGGTCCGCTAATATACGCTGCTATGTGGTGGAGTCCGCCACCTGCGCTGGTGATGAAGCACAAGATCTGGCCAAATTGGGCGCTCTGCATATAATACTGGTGGCGGAGAATGGCGCTTTGCGTATAAGCTCTTGGGAGCGCGATCGTTTTCAGGAGCGTCATGTGACGCGCGCTGAACTCGTCGATTTTATACGCAAGTTGCGCACCGAATTGGGCAACGCGAATGCCATCGACTATGTCAGTCAGCAATCGAATAGTAGCGCCGGTGGCAATGTCGGTTACAGCAGCGGTGGTGGTGGTGGTGGCAGTAGTGGCGGGGGCGGCGGTAATTTCGGACGCGGTGACTACAGCTTGTCCACATCTGCTTCGAGCGCGAGCATAAAAAACAACTACAATCCCAGTCAGTGGCCCAATGTGCAGGTGGTGTTTGTGGTGCACGACAAGCTGACGGCCAACCTGCGCCGCCGCTACGAAAATCAGGTGCGTGCCAACAAAATGTGTGCATTTTTTATTTAACTATATTAAAAGAAAAATGTCCCCACAGGTTACCCAGCAGATGTCCTTAACGTTGTCGCAGTTCATGAAGAAGGAGAGCGTCATCGTGCTGCTGGTGGAGCTGCCGCCAGTCACCGTTAATGCCATAGTGGGTGCAATTAATCCGCGCGAAGCCGACAAAAAGGAGACTGAAGTTGAAATTAATAATGTGATAGAGCGGTAAATGCACCGTTATACTAAATTTTTACAAATAATTCAATTTCATTTTGTTTACAGGTTTCCTAAGTTCAAACGGTACATAACCGAAATAACAGATGAAATTATTGACTACCTAACCGGCGACAAAGCAACCATAGTTGCCTTGTACACCATATCGGATTCGTATTATCGCGTTATCATTTGATTCGCACTGCAGATCGATCGCCTGCATTTGCTCTCAAATCTCAGATTTGCTTTGCTCAAGCATTTATTTAACACAATCTACTGGTTGTTGTTGTTGTTGTTGTAGCGGCAGAATTCTGTCGAGTTGGTTTGTCTCTTAGTGAGTTTAGTCAATTTGCCAACAATGTATTTTTACAAGCTTACCATCTATTTTATATTTTATTTAACTATGTTATGCTAATAACTTATGTTGTACATTTACTTATTTCGCTCAGTTGTGTCATATACATTCATACATATGTGTGGTCAATGTTTGTAATAAAGTTTGTAACTTGAATTTTATATTTATATGTACAAAAGCTATGTGGTTTTTTAAGTGGCAGCATGAAACGGCGCACAGTTCCAAAACAAAGCGGTCCGGCTTCGTTTATTACGTCTCCTCCGTTGCCTTATTGTGACTGCGCGGTATACTTGAGGCGGCGCCTTGCAGCACCTTGCGTGACAACCGCATGAAACCAGACACTGGATCTCGTCCGAAATACTTAACCTGTATTTCCTGGCCAACTTCCAAACCCAAGACCGAGGGATGTGCAATCTGTAAGCAAAAACTCGTTTACACACACAAATGCGGCACTTATGGTATGCAAGACACTACACGCACCTTTCTTTGGTCCAGCTGTGAGTTGTGCAGCAGCGCTGGCGGCATGCTGGGGTATAGTATCACCAAGACGCCAGTGTCACGTATTTCAGTGATTTTCGCAGCATAAATGCCACCAAACTCCAAGTCCGGGATGCGTTCTTTCACTAGCAGTGCGCCGATATGCTCCTTTGCCTCGTCCATGGCCGCTTGTGAGGGCGCAAAAATGCTGTAGCTCGTCTCATCCTCTGCTGTGAGTGTGGCGCCCGTTTCGAGGTAGATCCGTTTGAGGTTTATGCCACCGGGGCCGATCAATTGGCCACGCTGATGTGGTTCGATGGTTATGCGTTCAGTCACAGGCCAACACTCCTTGGGGTACTTGCTGCAAATGAAAGAAATTTCAAACTCAAAATATGCAACAAATCCAATACGCGCATCTCACCGATGCTCTCTTATCACTGCGCCCATTATATCGAGTATACGCCCTTTGGCGTCAGTCGCTTTTTGCAATGCCTCCATTACAATTTTCAGCGGTATGCCGGGTATTTTCAAATCCGCCTGTATAGCAGTGAAGCCTTTGCGCGTACCCGCCACCTTCATATCCATGTCGCCCATGTAGTCCTCAATGCCCAAAATGTCCGTTAAAATACGATAGTCAGACATGTGTTTAGTGTCGTTATTCTCATATTTCGTAACCAGACCAATGGCAACGCCGGCAGCTGGCGCAGTGACCGGCACGCCAGCATCCATTAGTGCCATGGAACCGCCGCAAACCGATGCCATGGAACTAGAGCCATTTGACTCCAACACTTCAGAGGTGAGTCGTACCGTGAATGGGTAATCATGCGGTAAAGTGGGCACAATTCCGCGCTCAGCCAGTGAGCCATGACCGAGCTCACGACGGCCAATCGGACCGATGCGCCCAACTTCACCGGTGGCATATGGCGGGAACTCGTAGTGCAACATGAAATTTTTGGCCTTCAAGCCGCTAAAATTGAATGCACATTAAAATTGTATTGAGTTTACATTATAGGTTTATTGGCAAACCTGTCCAAGGCTGCCACAGCATCTAACTTCATGGCGCTGTCGTGAGAGTCTAAGGCAACAGTGCAAAACACTTGTGTCTGTCCGCGTTGAAACAGCGCTGAGCCATGCAGCGGTTTGTAAAGGTCCACCTGTAACAGAGGTGATATGAGTATGGAGCCACGGCAATTACTGGCGCTTCTCCCCTACCTGGCAACTAATGTTTCTTAGACTATCGTAGTCGCGTCCATCACAGCGTTTATTTTCCTCAAATATAAGATTTCGGAAAATACTTTTACATACTTTATTGAATTCTTCGCCTATTAGTGCTGGTTCGGTATCTGGATAGGAGGACCACACTTTGTCTATCACATTTGTGCGTACCTCATTCACCGCGTTATCACGGGAAATTTTGTCGTGTGTTGCGTCCTGAAAGATCTCACGCAGTCGCATTACACTCATGCTTTTCACAGCTTCAGAGATTTCGTTGTCCACCACTGGCACAACGTCAACGGCACGTTTTTTTCTGCCGTATGCTTTTTGCAAACGTTCAATATCGTTGATGATAAATTGCGCCTCTCTAGTGCCTTGCTTAATTGCTTTGAGCACATCTTGCATTAACACAATGTTTCCTTTGCCTTCAAGCATCACGACAAGATTTTGTTTTGTTGCAGACACCACCAAGTCGAGTTGGGATGTTTGGAGTTCACGCCTTGTGGGATTGATTATAACTTCATCATCACAAAGTCCCACACTAATGAATAAATAATTTTTAAGTACATTACCTTCCTCTAAGGCACACAATTGACTTACCGCACTGCACCGATTGGCCCGTTCCAAGGTATGTCACTGAGACTTAAAGCTACTGAAGCCGAATTGATGGCTAAGACATCAGGTGAATACACCGCATCCATTGAAAGCATATTGCAAACAAGTTGCGTTTCAGTGCGAAAATCTGCAGGAAATAGTGGTCGCAAAGAGCGATCTATGAGACGCGCTGAGAGTATCTCCTTCTCTGATGGACCCAATTCGCGGCGCATGAAATTCATTGGTATGCGTCCAGATGCAGCGCTTTTTAAGCGATAATCCACAACGAGCGGCATGAAACTTGCTCCGGGCGCTTGTTTTGGTTTGGCTACCGCAGTTACCATAACGGCTGTGTCACCCATTTGACAAACAGAAGTTCCATTGGCAAAACGTGCAAATTTTCCTGAACTTATAGTCATGTTACGCCTGTAAAAGGAACATTGTACATATTACGTTAACTAAAACGTGTTTTAAATTTTATCAGCTGGTATACCCATTTGAAAATTTTACTTCCACCGAAGGGCAGTCATTGGTTCCACTTTGTATGTACCGTAAACCATTTGTAGTTCCATATCTCAGCTGTAGCTTTAGAAGTTTCAGACATCTTTGTGGAAATACCAGCATCCTTGCTAAAATACCGCGGCAGTAAAGGAATCCGTGGACATATATGTATGTCACAGCTTAATAAAATTGAACAGCTGATCTTAGTTTTCAGTGGTAACGTAACTTAATTAATGGAGGGGTCTCACGATTAATACAGAATAGCTTCAATATTTAAATATTTATATATTTCAAATGCAATGAGTGCACAATGTAATTTTGCTAAATTTTTTTTCAATAAGTAGAAGAAACATGTAAAAATTATTCTGTAGTTTTATTTGAAGTGTTGTTGTTTATCGTTCGTTTCAGTTCCCTTCAAAAATTAGACGTGCAGCACTTTACCAACACTGCCAAAATGAAACAGATGATAAGGTTTGTGGCTTTACTAAAGTTGTTGCGGCCGCATATTCATGAATTAATAATTCAGTATAAAATGTTTCGTTTACTTTTCTTGTTGTTATACATATCATAAACTATTATATATATATTATAGCAAATATTTGTTTACATTTTTAAGATATCTTTCTAACAACACTAGCTTCTATTACACACATCTCTAAATTATATCGATATTTAATCGCTAAAATGTACGAAACGAGTCAAAAAGGCAAATGTAAACATTTTGACGTTTGACAGCGTTTCATTGACTCCTTTGCGTTTTCGGTTTCGCAGTTTTCAGTTTTTCGGTTATTCTGATTATTCTTTAACGAGAAGCAGAAGTGATAGTGTCAATAGTGTCGTTTTCGGGTCTCGTGGAAAATTGTTGAGAAAATTTGCTTGAAAAATATGTGGTGGTAAATGCACAAATTTCGGTATTAATTATAATAAAAAATATTCGCTTCTATATCACAATCCTTTCGCAACTGGTGTAATAAATGTTGCTTAAAGTAAAATTGGGAATTAGTCTATGTATGCGCGTACGTACGTCTTTTGTATTGGCGGAATAATTAAAAACAATAAAAAAAGCTAAAAAGTTAATGCAAAGGAAAAGTGGTAGTGAAAAAGCCTAGTGCATAAGAAACGCCGACGTTGGAAACGAATAAGAGTGGAAGAGAACAAGCAGTGAAAAATTCAGTTTTTTCTGTGTGTTGGCCAAAAGTAAAATTGCAACAGCAACGACGACGGCGTTACCATAAGCAGCAGTAGCGACAACAAGTCCAAAAAGACAGTGTCAAAATTATGTGTGCGGCACAAATGATTTTTATTGAGGCCAACGCTATGAAATCGAAATGCTAATATATCAATCAGTTGTGAATTAAAAGCAAATAACATATACGAGTACACATGTACATACAAACAATTTATGTGAATCATAAATGAAATTCATTGATTAGAGTGATTTTTATGCGTAGCATTGAGTTTGAATGACCCATTTTGATATAAGGCTTATCGCGTGTGGAATTTCAGCCCATGTTTCATGGTGTTCTCCCAAAACCGCAATTTGAACCGCTTCACAAGTGTCAAGTGATTAGTTCAGTCATTAACATTGTTTCTTAAAAATTATTATATTAGATTTTTGGCTACTGTATCTATTGTTATATATGTGGTGGCCAACAGTTATAACTAACGCTTTGCACTTTTGAATTGACGAAAGGCGCTAAATTGCTATACAATATAAAAAAGGTTTAATGATATAAATATTTTTAATGTTTAAAAGTGTACATACATTCATATTGTCATATTATATGTGAAAAGTAATAAATTATAATAATTATATTTCAGTAAAGTATTTAATTTACAACGGTTTGATGTGCAACTGCTTAATTAGCGCCATTAATGTCAAGTGCATTAAAATTGTTTAATAGAAATAATAAAAAGTAAAATTAAAGTGCTGTTTCCTGATTTTAGAGTTTTTTTTTTAAAGAGCGGTACGTTTTAAAAACCGGACACATTTCATAAAGGTGAGCCATAAAAGTTTTACGATGTTATTTTATAGCTACTGTATTATTTTTACTTATTTCTCTTCGTTGACTTACTTCTTGTCCCATAGGAGGTCAGTATACCTGAGTTCTTTTTAATTTGATTTCAAAAATGTAATATTAGTATTTATTTATATACATTGCAGCTTGTGAACCGCATTTTATCATAATTGCTGTAGTGTTTTTCTGATAAGATCTAAACGAGATAATGTCAAACTAGTTATCTGTGCATGGTACGACTTTTCTTACTTTGAAAATGTGTGTTCGTTCGCATATGTCCTAATAAAGATTTTATTATTATAAAAAAATTTAGAATAATCGTATCTTGTGCTATTAGATATAGCAAGGTATAAATTGCTGTGAAATAAATGCAAAATTATCTATTGCTCTCTATAATAACTACATATTGTTTTATGTTCAAAAAAAAAATTTGAATGAAACTATGTACATTGCAAAATATTTATAAGAGGAATCAAGTTTCTAATTTTAAGTTTTCTATTCAAATTTATAACATTTTGTACTTCTAAACAGCGATATTTCTCACTACATATTTTTGAAAATATATTGCTAATCAACTGCTGTTGTAAAACTGTCGCAGTTGATAACTTTATTATTAACACATAAAAGACAAGTTGTAAAAAAGCATATACTACGCTCATTGTATATTGAATAATTATATGTATATGGTATATACGATACGAGTAGGCACATATGAGTGGAATCTAACCGTACACTAATGTGGAGGCACGTAGCTGAACAAATCTTGGAAGGTTTAGAGAAATTGTTCTCAAAATATAGAGAAAATATCAGACCTACAATCGCAATTCTAAAAACAAATCATAGCGGGCTTATGCTGTTTAAAAGATATATACGCACCTTATCCTACAACCTTTGTTGTGTACTTTGTGTCCTAACCTACAAAAGAAGTAGTAGTGTCAGATGTGTGAACGACAATTTCAATAAGGAAGGAGACTATATACCACATAACGCACTAATATTTTTATTTTTAAACTCTACTGCGTTTTCTGCCGCGTTAATATGTGTAATGTATGTATATCAACTACACAAGACCAACAGCCACTTACCACATTTGTTCCCTCATTATGGCGGCATTTTATTGTTGGCTTATTTGTGACGTTGATGTTATTAGGTGCTGCTGTGTGTTGTATTCAGTTATTACTTTTTATGGCATTGTAGCCTCATTTGTGCTGTGTTTTGTCAGCAATCGGACGCTGCTTGCTCTGCTGCTTAAAGTTTTTTTTTTCATCTAAGTCAGTTGGTTACGATGTTTTATCAATGGACGAACAGCAGTCAATAACCAGTGGTGGTTAATGCTAACTGGTGTGTAGATATGTTCTTCCGTACATATGTATGTGTGAAGGTATGAGTGCATATTTATTTACAAAACTCGCTTGCTCGGCGGCCAGTTCTCCACTCTAAATTCACCATCAGCCTTATTAAAAGGTTAACAGTGAGTCTTTTTCGTTAATATTTCGCTGCTTATCAGCTACTCAACAGTCGGATTAGACGGGAATCGGCCGTTAGTGGCACTCAACAGTCCTGCAAATATAGTGGTTAAGTTGCATTTCACTAATCTCGAGCGTTTTTGTTTGGTTACTTTGATAAGGGAAAATTTGTTAAAAAAATATGTGTCCAAAAAAAGCAAAACCTGATCGTAAATTTTAATAAAGTGGGGAAATAGGCAAAATTGATTGAATTAAAAAAAAATTTAAACAAATAGAAGACCTGCAGAATTTTCAACCATTAGCCAATTTGTTCCAAAATGTCACCTTTTTTTACAATCCGCAGAAGTTTTTCGTAATTAGTCTCAAATCGATCTAAATTATTTTATGGATCTTGAATAAAACACATATAATATTGATTTAGTCCCTTGTTCTGAAACTCAGACTGAGAAAATATTAAACCTAAAATTAAGCAAAATAAGAAACAACGTTAACTTCGGCTGCACCGAAGCTATAAGAGTAAAAAAAAATCTTAATCTTGATTTCGCGTTTATACAGAGGGATAGACAGGTGGACATGACTAAGTCGACTCAACAGGCATGTTAGTGGGGTTGGTATTTATACATACGAATATTTTGACTTTCTGAACAGTAAATCAAGGAATAAGAAAAAAACTTGTCGAAAATCAACTCCACATTTCTTATGTTCATGACTTTTTATATTTGAGGACTTCCAAAAGAATCATCAATTCATCATTTTCTCCAAATACATCGCGATACTTCTCAAATTTGCAGCATTTTACTGAGAGCAATCAATTGCAAACTGCTTAAATTCCTTTAAAAATGTCACATCCTTACACCCGCTGCGGACAGCTTGCTTGGCAATGACAGCAAACTAGCACTCGGCAATCACTGTCGCAGCACCTTATATAAGCAGTCAAGATAAAAGAAAATCGCTTTCGCAACATCAAGTCCGCACGGTCGCTGCCAACATCGATTGTTGCTGATAAAGGAAATTCGAGTGACACAAGTTGCATGCAACGGAACCGCACCGTTAAAGTGAAATGTGACTGCACCACAGCATGCGGTAGCAAGTCCGCGCTGTTGTTGTTGTAAATCCACTTGACATTTAACATCTTGCTGTCAGTTCACCACAACTGCTACTGAAACGCAACGGCACTCTCCACAGAAGAGAGATGCTTCTTGAAAAGAAAAAAATAAATAAATAAATAAATAAATTACAGATCGATATCTCAAAAATAAGAAACAAGTTCGCGTATATACAGACAGACGGACAGAAGGGCTGTTGTTGTTGTAGCGGCAGAATTCTGGACATAACTAAATCGACTCAGCTCGTCAAGCTAATAATTTACGTACAATATATATTTTTTAGGGTCACCGTAGCTTTCTTCTGGGTTTCCAAACTCATATTAAGGGTATAAAAAGTTAATCGAAAGCTAAAATAAATTAAAATAAGCAATGAAATCGTGCATAATGAACGAAGTGTAAGTACACTTTGGGTCAAACGCAACTTAGGAGCGAACATTGAAAGGACACAAGTGTAATGTTACTAAACGAAAATGGGTCAAGCAGGGAATTCCTTGCAATTCAGAGTTTTATAGCACAACCTTCTATACTAAACACACATATTCAGAGATAACAGTATTCCCATGAAGAGGCTAACCTACGAAGAACGGTTGTGGGCACTCGGTGAGTCTACAAAATAAAATTAAGTACGTAAATTAAAGAATTTTCAATAAGCGTTTGAATGGGCAAGCGTACAAGCTAAACCGCGCCTCAAATGCACAAACACGCACACACTTGCTTAATCGCTGCATAAATAAAGTGGAGTAGTTGTGTGAGTGCGTCTCAAGTGGCATAGTGTTGATTGAAATGGCAGGTTAG